AGGTGACGGATGCTCTGTTCCACTAGAAAGGCTACGGGAGCTCTGCTCTCCTTTTACTTGAGGAGTTGATCTTCCTGGCTGAAGCAGTCAAGTGTTTAGAAAAAATACATAGAAAGGCTGCTTCTCCTGGCTTACAGACTTCCGCCTTCGTGACCACACTACGTTCTCCAGGAAATCAGCTTACACTTGAGTTACAAAGAAAATATCTAAAGGACAAGTTCAATTTTTGCGTTTAATTGTCCCCATTTACACACGTTTACTGTTTACACCTTAAGACAGGGGTTCTTCTTAACACGTGGGTCATAACCCCTTTGGGGTTGCATATCAGATATTCCGTATATCAGATATCCATAGTACAATTCATAATAGTAGCAAAGTTACAGTTTTGAAGTGGCAATGGCAACGAAAGACTTCTATGGTCGTGGGTGGGTCACCAACTGTGTTAAAGGGTCACGGCATTAGGAAGGCTGGGAACCACTGCCTTAAGACATTCCAAGCGGGGATAGTATATTTCTGAGAGATGAACAGAATCACGAAGCTACTCACAACACTTTAATGTTACTGCCTCCCTTCAGGGTCAAATGTGTAATTGATTCTTTAAAAAAAAAAAAAAAAAAAAAAAGTACTAAAAATACTTGGATTGGAGCCCCAGACTCAACTCTGCAGGCGCTACATGCAGCATCTTTACTGGATAAACACTATGAATGATTTCCTCTTGGATAGATGGCGGCCCTCTCAGGTAGCATGGGGGTATTGACAAGCTCCGTGGGGAGGGTGAGGTTGGGGGAGAAAGATGCAGAAGAAGCCTGCATTACAAAAGAAGTTGAGAAGAGCCAAGGGAAGGGGAATTCTGTGTCAGGTTCACCCGTGGGAGTTTTACACGGAAAACACGGAGCTGTGTCAGGAATGTACAGATTCATCACTGTCTACTTCCGGGTCAGTGTGTGACCTTTGCTTGGAGGGATGAGAGCCAGGGAAGGTCACTGCAGAGTCAATGGTTGCGCCTTGGCTGGTGATCGGGGCTGGGAGAGATGGCATGTCCTGCCGACATGGCACAGAAGGGAATAGCTGGGGAGATGCCCACGGGTGGGGAAGAGGTCCTCAGGCAGATGGACGGACGGACAGAAGGACATCTGTGCAGGAGCCAGCAAAGAGAAGGGGAAAGAAGCAGGTCCTCACACCCTCCTTGAGACCACCAGAGTCAGTGAAGATCTGTGGGGTCTGGTGGCAGTGTGTGTCATTTGGAACATATAAAGCCAAGGTTCAAGCATTTTCACTTTTGAAAGACAACTCTTCACTCCTCCAGGAACTGGATGATCACACAGTTGCAGAAATCCGCAGACAGCTAGTGACGGATCTGCGTCTTGAGTCATTGTGTACTGTAACTGAGTAACCTTTGAGCTGGTTCGGAGCCTAGGAGACTCATTATTTTCAAACCACCCTGAGGATGGAAAGTGCTTGAATGAGAAACACAAACGCTACTTAGGATAGCGAGTTTATCAGGTTGGATTTCAAACTCCCGCAACACGGTTGTTAAACAGGGGCAACACATTTTCCTATGCCCGGTTAACACAGAAGCCTGACGAGGGGTGGTCACACCAACCTTGACAACACATACATGACTGGAGAGAAACAGAATATTTTATTTAGAAACAGGGTCTTGCCCTGTAGCCCAGGTTGACCTTCAACTCCAAGATCTTCCTGCCCACTCTCCCAAGTTATAGGGTTACAGGCATGAACTACCATGCCCAGCTCCTACACCTTAAAACAAAACCTACAGAATATCAGTGACGATCTGTGGGAAAAGTCTATATTACAATAAATGAATATTAAATGGAATTATCTTTAACAACTTTTAAACAAGATTGCACTTCCAATTTCTTCTGATGTTAAGAATCTGAACAATTAACTCTCAGTTAAGCAGAAAAAAAAAAACTTGAAAAAAACCAATAAAATACAAATATTTCAAGATAAGATGTAAAAAATAAAAACAAAAAAAGCTTGAAAATGAGCAAAAACAGGATTAAAAAAACCACACAGATTTTCTTTCTGTTATGGTCCATGGTTTTTAACATTTTGTTTCCTAATTCCAGATAAAAATGATAATTTTCCCGTGTTCTGTGCTGATTCCGTTAAGTGAAGTTCTTGCCTGATGCCCTGTCAGGAGTAATAATGCCCTGAGGAGCAGACACAGAGCCCAGCAAGGGAGGAAGGAGGCTGCAGATGCTACTGTAAACCCACATTTGATTCCGTCCACACACATTCCTATTGTGACATCAGCCACTCACTAACACCGACCATTACATGGTATGACGCACCAGGAAATAACTCTCCACACGGATTGTGACTCCAGCAGCCAGCTCTAAGCTGCCTGTGTGCCAGAGACCAACACTTTCAGGGGAAAGGTACCTCAGATCACAGAGATTCCCATCCTCCATCGTAAGGAACACGGGGATCAGGGTCTGGTACCCATTGACAAAGTCCTGCCTGAGTCTGGGACCAGTCACTGCACTGTCACAAGACAGGCTTCGCATATCCATTTTCCACTGGCCCTGCTCAGGTGCTTGGGTTTTAACCAGGAATTAAACAGACCCCCGCCCCTCCCCATGATAACTGGCCTCCGCTCAGGGTTCCTGTTGGTTGCTTTGGGCTCACTCTCTTCCTTGACACACACTGAGTGGTACGCCTCTTTCCATCCCTTTTCTCAGACAGAGCATGCACCTAGTCTCAAGCATAACAAAGACATCTCCAGACAGCATTGTTTTCCAACAGGGAGAATTACGAAACACAATCTAAAACCTGAGTGCATTCATTGGCAAAACTGAAGGAAAGCAGCCCAGGAAGGCATCCCATAATTACCAAACGAAACCGATGGAGAACGGTTTAATTCTGCCGGTATGACACCAGTTCATCATACTTGTGGGATAAACTTTCCAAATGTATGACGGAACCACAGCCTAATGAGAGTCAGGGCTGTGCCACCAACACACAATGCATATGTCCATGCGTACACACGGATACGTACAGTTTGCCGCTGGTGAAGGCAGTGGATGTTCTAATTATACAGGTGGGAACCAAGTAAGAGCGGCAGCACCCTCGATTGCTGGGTGAGGGTTCAGTCCTGTGTCGGCGGCCTGTTGTTACTTGGCATTCAATTAGAACTTACTGTGGGAGAATCCAATTCTGCTGAGGTTACTGTACACAACCACCGACCCTTTTCTCACGAAGATTATTGGCATTATTTAGAAGTTTTACAGACGTGGTGATGTGATTTAGATAAGGGGCAAGGCAAAACTATGCGGCTGACATATTTATGAAAATGACTTTTAGAGTTTCTTGATCATTTCACATTAAGACAGTCTATGCTTTTCACACGATTTGCATTCGGGAAGTATGTAATGGTATTTAAGGAAAAGGAAGCAGCTACATCTAATCTAGATAGAATTATAATTCTGACTTGAAGAGGAAATCCTTATGATTTATTGTTTTCTTGGTGGGTAGTTTCACGTGAGCTGGGTATGATCGGATGCACACCGCAGCTGCCTGCGGTGCATGTTTCTGTCTACGGTGCAGGCTGCTTTCATTATGCCTTTCTCACATTTAAACTCTGTAACATACAGGTTAAGACTTTAAAACAAACCACAGGCTCTGTCCAGCTCGGATAAGAACACAGTTTTTTTTTTTTTTAGCCAAGTAAATGAGTAAAAAGTTATAAAAAAGTGAAAAAAAAAAAAAAAAAAAAAAAAACCCTGGATAATCAAGTCAAACAATGATGGCGAACTAATACATTTACAGTAACTGTGAACCTGAGGCTTAGCTGAGCCAGCTGTTTTCCTTGCCAGCTTCCAGTCCTCACAACCTATTGCTTATCCTTCTGGAATTTGTGTCGGAGGGCCTTCCAGTTCCTTGTAAGGTACGCAAGTGTGATCTGCCGCAACCCGGAGAGCGATTTCAGTGCCTATTTTACGACTGCGTTGCATACTGCATTTGAAGACTCCCGCGACAAGGTTTCAAGGCGGCACAGTTATTTATAATGGACCTGTCTCTAAAGGGAGAGTTTAATACTTCTGCGCTCACACCAGCTTCCCTGCTAAGCTAAAACTTTTCATAAGACACAATCAAACTTCTGAGCTGTAGGGTGCCTGTGAGGAATAGCACTGGGAGCGTCTTGTCATGGGAGCACCGTGAGCTAAAGGGACCCTTGCAACCTGAGAGAGAGAGAGACGCTTGGGTCAAACTCATTAATACACAGCCGTGGAAGCTGGTGTTTGAGAAGACCCTTGACCTCTGCTGCTCCCGGGGCCCTGCTTGTCACCTTCTGCTCGGCAGTGGTTACGCATCTTCACGGTTGGACTGGGCTGACTGACACCACCTGAGAGAGCTGAGTGTACAGTTGCACAAGCGTGGTACACAGCTGTGACAGCAGCGGCTCATGAATACAGGGATGGAAAGGAAACACAGGCCACAGCTGGCCACTCCACCCTCTCAGTCACAGTCCTCCACACAGCACGATTAAGTCATTAGAGTCAGATGTCGCGGCAGGAGGGGGAGCCGCCTCTCTCTTTGTCTGAAAAAAATCAGTGAAAAGTGAACACGGCTTCCGATGTTGGCCTTGGAAGATCTAGAGAGACGTTTAAATTCAGACCGGGCTGAACTTGTAATCTGAGCTACTTCAGCCACTGACTTTTGTTATAGGAAGGAAAAAAGTCTAACAGGCAATTTGCATTGGCACGTGCTGATGTCTTAAAGATGCCATTAGACTTTCATGCATGTCTGCTGCTTCCAGGGAGTTCAAAATTCCTAAGTCAGATTTTGCTCTGTTTTTAACACTATTTCAGTAGTGTTCATCACAACCATTGACACGATTATTTATGCCTAATACATTTTTGCCTCCATCGGTCTGGGTGTTTGGGATCTGGAGCTCCTAGTACCTTTTGGAGAGCTGAGTCTTTTTACAAATTTTCAATGTTACATTACTTAATTAAGAAATTAAGAAAGAAAAAAAACGTTCATAATTATCTAGCTTATGTGCTTTATGGCGTCTTTTTCAAATTGAGAGTATAAATCATTGTACATAAAACCAAAATAGTTAATATATATTTTCTGGCATTTTCTAGAAATTAGGCATGAGACATAAAACATCTTATAAATTTATATAATAAAATAAATGTTTACATTTTACTCTTAGATTACCATTGGATAACAGGAAAGTCACACATGTGGGCAGCAGAGATCACTGGAAACACAAATTCATGTCCACAGCCCTTTAGGGACAGATACCATGGCTGCCATCTGCACGAGTGGCCTGGGTCCCAACTTCAACATTAAGGCTCTGTTTGGAAGGAAGAGCGCTGGGTTCAAACAACTTCAGAAGTACCATAGTAGTCACTGGGAATTCAGAAAAGGCTTTGACAAATTTCTGAACACTGTGGTGGTGGTGGTGGGGATTTTGAACAGAAAATTTTAAAAAGTGTCTAAAGTACCTTGTGAAAAAGACTGCAGATTCGGTGCAAAAACCAGGAGCAAAGACCCCAGAGACTCCAGAGACGTCACACCCCAAACACAGGAGGCGCACTGTCCACATTCCCAGCGACCAACACAGCAGGTCTGGGAAGGGGGTGGTCTACTGGTCTACATGAGGACCAGCACCCATTTCTCACCATCGTAAGGTCTAGCCGAAGACTAGCGCCAAGCCTGTGGAGACAGTCCTTGGAATGAACACAGACACGGGAAGGTCTCCCGTGGTAAGATGCTGGGAATTTTAGCACTGGAGTAGACAAAGCAAAGGACTTAAGGAAGAAAACCTTGGCTCATCCCCAGGGTGGTAGGGATTCCAGGCAGATGGATTTCAGCATTGGTGGGAGGAGCTTCCCCTCACAGCCTGCCTTCCTTGTGACATGTGCCCTGACAGGTGAGTCCGTACCTTACTGTTTCAGGAACTGGGGAACAGCTGTGACCCCTGTGCTGGACTTCAGTTAATGGAAGCAGTGTGAGATGGACATCTTCTTATCCCAAGGCAGCACTGTCTCCTGGTGCACGAGAGGCTCGTTGGGAACCACCTTCTGGGTTGCTAGAGCCTGGTGATATCTCTGCATTGCTGCAAGTCCCCAATGCTCTCGTAGTCATTCTCCTTGGGGACAAGGTGGCCATTGGTCTCCAGAGGGACCTTTTCTTCCTCTCTGTTTAGAGTCTGTATGGCTTCATAGTCAGGCTCAGGATCCTCGCTGGACCTCCTTGCTGGGGGGAGCGTGCTGAGGCTGTTGGGGGATCTGTCGAAGTCTTTCACGGTGGCATAGAGGTCATTACAGGAAGAGGGTGACCTCTGAGGGGTTCCCTGCATGGAGGGGCATGCAGGCTCTGGCCCTTTCGGAGACGATCCAGGTTTGTGTGCTGACTGTCCGGGTTTATTCACTGAGGAATACATTGCTGAGATCTAAGGAACAACCAGAAATGAACGCGCTCGCCTGCAGGCCGACATTCCTCCCCTCCCCTTCCTCGCGATGGGCCACACACTTGGCACTCATGAACACTTCCTGCCCAAGTTATTGATGACAAAGGGTGTCAGCTATGTCATCAATGTCTAGTACTTGGTTAACTCCATAAACCCAGTTTTGTGGGTTTCCCGCTGGACCAGATGGAGCTACTGTGGCTAGTAGAGAAAGCAGACTAGAGGGAGGCCGAGGGATCACAAGGGCGAGGGGCAGGGCGCTCCAGGGACTGAGGCGTGAGAATGGAGCTTTCGAGGCCCCTGAAGGGCAAAGGCGATTCACCACACCTGGAATAGGGACGCAACCGGAATCAAAGATGACTCCTAGGTTTTGCCTTGTGTAGCTGGGGGGAGAGGCTTAGGCAATATCATCTGAAGACAGGATGCCTTGAACTCTGAGACCTTCATCTTCCAGCACTGCGCTCAAGAGCTCCCTGCCCACGCGTGTTGTCTCCACACGGACAAAGTTCCCACACTGGCCTTTCACTCCAGCCAGCCGTGTACAGCTAGAGTAGGGAAGGTACCTGGTACTCTGAACCCAGCTTGATGTGTCTGTCTCATAACTGTGGCTCTACATTTCGAAGGTGCCACTAGAAGTCTCCTCGACTTTTACCCCAGCCCTTGGGAAATGGCCACCTGTCTTCACTGGCTGCTTCCTAGCCTGATTCATCTTTTCTGAAGCAACCAGCCTCCAACATTCCTCGTGGACATTTTCACCATCTTTCAAGAAGGGTCAAATTCCCTGCTTCTCTACCCATCCTGACTTGGGGAATTTTCCAGCCCGTCACTGATTTCCTTCTAGGGTGGACCCCCAGCTGTCATGTACCTTTCCAACGTGAGAAATCCACATCTCAACCCAGACACCCAAGCAGAGGCCTGGGAACTTGTCTGTTCTTTCAAACAAAGGAAGCAATCAGAGTATATTTGTTCTTGGGAAGAAGCACTGTTTTTGCATTATTTTTGGTGGTTGTGGGCAGGGTTTTGTTATGCTGTCTAGGCTTGCATTGAATTAAACATCCTTCAGCCTCAGACCCCGGAGTGCTGAAACTATGTACATGAACAACTATGACTATGTAGAATGTGTGTGTGTGTGTGTGTGTGTGTGTCTGTGTGTGTGTATGTGAGACCATGTCTCATGTAGCCCAGGCTAGCTTAATGTAGCTGGGGCTGGCCTTGAATTCCCCATCTTGCCTCTACCTCACACACACCACGATTGTAGCTGTTTGCAGCCACACTGGATTCATGATATCTGGGGCTCCAGACTAATGTTCTATTTTAAAGTTTTATTTTAAAAATCGTGCAAGCAGGTGCGCGTGTGAGCGCAGGCACTGGGAGGCACTGGATCCCTTGGGGCTGGTGAGACGGGGGTGTGAGCTGCCCAGCCTGGGCTGTGGTAACTGAACTCGGCAAGAGCAGTCAGTACGTGCCCTTAGCGGCTGAACCGTCTCTCTGGCCCCCGGTGTCTCTATTTTTAAAAGGCGATTTTTGCTTATTGTAAAAGAATTGACATTTACCTCCTCTTCTGTAAGAGTTGGGTCTTCTTCCCGAGACTTATATGACAAGGAACTAAATCTCTGTCAAAAAAAAAAAGTAAACTAAAGTAAAGCAGTTTGAAGCCGATAGTGATAGTTTGATCTTTCTTCTATGCATACATATCCATGTCTATACCAGTGTGTTCTGGTCATCTCTGCAGACCACAGGCAATTATGTGTCTCTTGTATCAGCGGTTGACACACAGACAGACACACACATACACACACACACATACACACACACACATACACACACACACACACACACACACACACACACACAGAGACATACACACAGATAGGCGGGAAGACTCTTGCCTACTCAGTTCTTAGTCTTCAAAATGAAGACAGTAGTATTGGTCTAATTACATATAAATGTTGGAAGCTACCCAAATGAGATATGGAGAGAGAAACGTTTTGCAAACATAAATCTTCAGCATCTTCCATAAGGCTGAAAAGGCGAAGCACAGTGTACACTAACCGTGTCACTTCTCATCATTTCGTGAACCTGCTAGTATTAATAATCACCCCCCCCCCCAGGACCCGGGACCGTCTCACCAGGACAAAACCCACCTTGCTGTGCCCGCTGGTCCCCTCTGGGGCTTGCTCTGCTGCCTGCCTCTCTCCCTTCTCCGGAAGGTTTGCGTTCTCATCCAGAAGTTTAACGGGGACGGGTGGTGGGGCTTCCTCTTCCAGGTCACTGGAAGTTCCCAGAATGTTCTCGGCGTTAATGCTGTGGCGGCACTTCTTGTTCCTATCCACAGAGGCGTATTCCACGAAGTCGGCTTTGCCCTCTGGGCGGGGCGGGCCCTGCAGCTCCTTCAAGGCCGAGGCGGACTTGGACTTGCCGCTCTGGCCTTTGTCTGCCACCTCCTTGATTTCCTTCACGGTTTCGTACAGGCAGTCCTCCACCATGTTCTCCTGGGAGGAGCTATCCTTGAGCACCTCGTAGGGCCCCTCCACGCCGGGCCCGGGCTCCCCCTCCGCAGCCCTGGCTGTGAGCATGGCGTCCACGGCGTTCTCTGGGGGGATCCTGGGCAGCTCTCGGCTCTGGTGACTCCTGGGTTTTCCCGTGCTGTCCTGGGAGTCCAGGAGATCCGAAGCCGAGGTCTGAACTTCCTCGTAATGCTGCATGCAGGTCAAGGTGCTGTCTTCTGAAAGGACTGAACCGGGGGCGGTGTGTTAGAGGGCACCTCCTAACAACCGGCGCAGCCGACCACCGCGGTAGACCAGCAAGCCGGTTTTCACCCGATGCTCAGCTGCAAACTGTGGCGCCAAACGCGTATTCGTGTGCCATTGCTTTTAAAGGGAAGCGCTATCGTACCGTTACCCAGCGCAAGATTTAATAAATAAACGGTGTGCGCTAGCTGCATCTACTTCCATCGCTCACTGTTACCCTGCTGAGACCCGTGTAGGCGGAGTGCGGCTTAAAGAGGCTGAGGCAGGAAGACTTAATTCAAACTGAAAAGTGAAGGAGGGCCATGGCTGTAAAGCAGAGGCAGAGTGCACGCCCTGGGTTCCGCCCTCAGGTACAGAAAACAAAGGTGACCCCCATAGGGCTGCAAGGTACTAAGAACTGGGCGGGGCATGTGTTACCCTAGTCTAATTGGTCTCTGCCTCTATGGGGGGGGGGTGGAGGAGTAGCTGATCTTCCCAGCCCGCCCACTTCACAGGTCACTTCCCTTTGCAGACATAACTGAGTCTGAGCAGGTGATGATGGACCTTTAGGACAGGATCAAAAGGGGCCAGACGCCTCTTGCTTCCAGTGTGCCTCAGCCCCACATCCTTGCCTCGCATAAGACGTCCAACCAGGACGCCCTTGGGCTGCCTCGAAAATGGTGATGCCAGGTGGCGCTGGGTCCTTATCACGAGGGTTCTGAGTGTTTGCTAGATGCCAGAGACTGTTTGACCTGGTGGAGACCCTGAGGTGGGCAGAATGGAATTCTCTCAGGGTGCTCACATCACCAAGTTCTTACCCAAGTGGGCCTCACTGTAGGAGATTAGAGACCAGCAGGGAGAGGCTCCCAGGGCCTGGCACCTAACCCATGAAACAAAACAAAACCTCTACCACCACCAACAAACCAAGGAAACAAAAAAACAACAACAAAAAAATGTGTGTGTGTGTGTGTGTGTGTGTGAGGGGGGGCAATCTGGGACGAGGGAGGGTCATCGGGAGTGTGTGGGGGGTGAGGGTAATGAGGGTGGCTGTGATCAATATTCATTAGATCATGTTAGGAAGAAGAAAAAGAAACCTGTGGGATAATGATGAATCCTTAGCCCCCCCCCCCCCCCGCATCTATAGTCCTAGAGTTCTAGGTCCTTCTACTCCCGCAGGAGGGCTTGGGTGCCACGGCTGACGACCCCCCAGTTTCCTTCATAAAGGGGGAAGGAAGAGGCTTTGCCTTGGGTGAACGCATGCCACAAAGGAAGCAATCGTTGCTACTACCGTGAACACAGGGTGTCGGATGGATGGATGGTGTGCAGAACACCGAGTGTCTGCCTTAGATTGTGTTGCCTGGTTCAAGTTACAGATCTTCAAGCTCTGTGATACTAAAACCCAGGGTTATTACAGGGCTGTGTGACAAGGACTTGGCTTCCCAAAAATATCCATACCCCAATCTATGGAAACTACATGCTGTATCACATAGCAACTCCCCCCATCTCTCTCTCTCTCTCTCTCTCTCTCTCTCTCTGTGTGTGTGTGTGGTCAGCTGACCTTGAGATGGGTAGAGAAACTTGGGTTACCTGGACAAGCCCAAGGAATTACAGTCCTATCGGTTGGAAGAGAAAGGCCAGCGGGAGATCCAAAGATGTAGGGGGAAGCCGTGGATGGAGGGTTTCAGGAGGCAGTGAGTGAGTCCCCATCAGGCCCTCGCAGGAAGTGTAAGCAGGCTTGTCCTCACCTGGATGCTAATGCTGCTCACACTTGTGACCTTGACAGTTAATGAGCCTGAACCACTCGCTCAAGGTCTGTGGTGACTGGATGCAGCAGTTGTGGGCCAGAGTCCTCTCGCTTTTAAACGTGTGTGTGTGTGTGTGTGTGTGTGTGTGTGTGTGTCTCCAGTAAGTGACACTACACACTTCTAACAGGGCTCCAGGCACCCAGTAGCCAATGACCCTGACCGGACCCGACCCCAGGTGTCTTTATGCAAATGAGACTTCCGACTAAAACTAGTAGTCATAATGACTAGGCTAGAATACACTCCCCAGTTTCTGAGCTACTTTTTTCTCTTTCTTTAAGTAATAATAATAATAATATATATTTTTAAATCTTTATTTTATGTGTCTGGTGCCCTGCTGGCATGCATGCCTGTGCTTCACTTGCACGCCTGCTACCTGTGGAGGCCAGGAGAGGGAGGGCATGAGAACCCTGAAACTGCAGTAGTGGACGGGGGGGGGGGGGGTGGGGGTGGGGTGGGTGAGCTGGCTGCCCTGGGTGGGTGCTGGAAGCAAATCCAAGTCCTCTGGGAGAGCAGCGCTCTTGACCCCCAAGTCATCAACTCATCCCTGGGAACTACCAGACTGGAGACCTAGTGCTCCACGGTGCCGTCTCTGCAGAACTTACTGTCGCCATTGCTGAGCACCCCATTCTGCTCACTGCTGGCCAGTGCGTCTGTTGTCAGGCTGGTCGCTGAGTGGCTGAACATCTCCTTGTCCGAAGGCTGAAAAATCCAAATACAGCTTTTGGTAAGGATCTGCTGGGCACCGGAGGGGGACACTCCTAAAGTCAAGGCAGCCCGAAAGCAAATCCCAGAATTCATGGCTTAAATTAGGTGAATTAACCGGTCCCGTAGATAACTCCGTCACACTCAGGTGTCGGGTGGGGACCATTCTCGCTAGTGGAGAACGGATAAGCTTATTTCCGAAGAAGACGCAGAGCAGTTCTGGACTCTCAGGGGCACTGGGGCTCCTCCAGGATTCCAGGCAGTTCATCTCACCTGGGGTTATAAGTGGGCCACAGGTCCATCGGGTTTCCTTAGCTCAAGGCGAAAGGAGACCATAAATCCTTGTGTGGGTTAGAATAGACCCTAGCGGGGACCGATGCCATCCTTGTAACACAGGTGTTGCCATAAGAACAGCAAACATCTCTGGGGTGATGGTTCTGTGTAGACACTTCCAGGAACAATGGTTGGCGTTGTCACAAGGGACACGCAGAAACTGCTCCTGGATGCACATCTATGCCAGTAACTCAACTGGTCCCACAGAGCGACGCAAATGGGCAGTACAATGGACCCGGTTGTTTTCCATTCACAGCGTCTGCTGCCCAAGGCACAGCCCAGGCCCCAGGATATTACATGGGAAATTCTGATGCATCTATCCTGCACAGAAGTTCTTGGGTATTTGGCCTCACAAACTTCCTGACTCTGATGAGAAATCAAGTAACAACGAACAGAAAATGGCCCTTGATGTGGGGCGACATCCAAGTGTCCAGGAAGTCTGCTCTATTAGGCCAATGCCATTCACATTTGCTGCTCTGTGATCTAGATGCTCACACTATAGAAACAGTGTCCTTAGGGGACAGGGCTGGGGACCAAGGGAAGGCTTCCCATATAACCTATCATGGACAAACTTCCACAATCTATGTCTGACCTGCCTTAAAGCTTTTATGAGAAAGGAACCTGCAAACTGTGAACGATTTTGGAAATGCGGGAGCTAGGTGGGTAAGAGCATGTGGGGAGGCCTCCCCGCGGGTGTGAAGCACACATCCTTGTAGACAGAGTCATGTCGTGAACGCCTGTGGAGGGGATCCTATGTGAGGAAGAAAATGGACAGGCAGTTTTTTTCTTTTTTTCCTCTGCTTACCAGGCTGCGCTTACCAAAGGCTGCTGACCTCAGGCAGGTCAAGAATGATGGCATTCACATTGGTGCCCACATCAGGGTAACTTGGAGGCTTGGTCCCAGCCCTGGAATACTGGCTTCCTACCAGCTACCAGGTGGTGCTATTTATTACTAATGGTCCAGCCTTAGCTGAGAGTAGATTAGTAGTTATGGGTTAATAATTAAGATAGAGCTAGCCAATAAGAAGCCCAAGCCGCTAGCCAACAGTTTCATAATTAATGTAAGGATTTGTGTGTTTATTTAGGGCTGACGTGGCTGTGGGACCAGGCTGGTGAGAAAGAGCGCTTGTTGCAAATTGGCTCCCAACGTGGGGCTCGAACCCACAACCCTGAGATTAAGAGTCTCATGCTCTACCAACTGAGCTGGCCAGGCATTTCTGTTTTTGTACAGCCTGGATAGTTGGTGTCTGTGTTATATAGTGCCATACAGTATTTTTTTCCCACAAGCACAAGTTTGTTTATGGTTCCTATCTGATACTGGAGGAATGTTAATCTGGGTATCCCATGCTGCAATAGATCACGACCCCATAGATTTATTGCTATATCAGCCACATATGGCCTAGCCTTCCTCTTTATCCTTCCGACCCTGTACATTCAACCCATCCCAAGCTTTGTTTCACCTGAGGCGGGGTTCCAGTCCCTAAGAACGGAACGTTTACCTCCTGCAGAGACCAACTTGGATGCTAAGATTCTGGAGTTATAATGGTAACATCCAACTCCCCCAGGGGCCCCCACAAGCATTCTGTTATTTATCTGTACTCTTAATTTTGGTCTTTGATCATTTAGACTGCCAAAATATACACCTTTTTTTTGTTTGTTTGTTTGTCTCCTCCATGTATGTTTGATTTATCCTCCAAAGAGAATCAAATCCTGGCAGCTTCCTGCCTGCTTGGGCCATGAGCGCCCCAGGAGGTGGGAGCTCAGGCAGTCTGGTGCCTCCCGCATGGGCTCAGAACACATCTGCTGGGTGCAAGTAATGCTGCATCCCATGGACTTTGATGCACATATGCTTCTTGTTGCTCCGAGTGGGAAGCAACTTCTCTCCCAGCACTGCACTGGAGCTGGGGGGGGGGGGAAGCGGGAGTGGGGGACTCTTAACACAGCCCTGTGGGTCCAGCTGCTGAGGCTGCAGTACCCCTTAAGCGTACAAACTGAGTCAAAGGACAGACAGATGTGACACCCTCAGGCTGGTCCTCACCCAGGTAGGTGGATCCTGGGCACCGCAAAGATCCCATCAAACGTCAAGGATTAGGGAAGGCGGCAAGGCCAGGCTCAGCTATAGGCTTCAGGCCCCGGCGAACGGTTGTTATTTCTACCCAAACGTATGTCAAAGTCTTAGTCCCCAGTGCCACAGACTGTAACTTCATCTGCAAACCGGGCCACTTGAAATGACGCTAGTTAAGACCGAGGCTACGTTAGAGTTGGGTGGGTTCTAGCCTCCTATGTTTGGTGTCTTTATGAAAGCAGGGGACTTGGACCCAAGGACAGGCATTCAGAGAGGAAAAGGTAACATGAGGCATAGAGGGGAAGGTGAGGGGCAAGGATTGGGTGTGAACTGAGGAACTGAGCTCAGGAGCAGACCCAGCTCTGGAAGAACCTAACGCAACGAGCAACACCGCGGATGCTGGACGGCGCGCTCCAGAGCAGAGACAGTACACCTTATCCGAGTCATCCACTGTGTCCCCGGGACAGCCCTTTCAGACCAGAGGGGACAGAGGACGCCCCTGTGGCAGTCTGCAGGGCAGCCCGCTGGCTGGCAGCCTTCACTTCAGAAGCCACGGCTGCCAGCGAGCACTTGGGAAATGCACGGGCCCCAAGCCGTAAGTGTAGACTGCAGGGAGCTACTGTTCACTTCCGCTTACTTCCACATGCCAGCTTCACTCGAGTCAAAAGCCAGCGGCGACATGCCTGGACAGGGGTCGATGGCCGGACAGACAGACAGACGGACAGACAGAGAGGCACACCAAGGCTTACCACATTCATCAGGCTCTCGTGGTCCGCACCGTGCTGCTTTGGCTTCTTCTCTCTGAAAAGGAAAGGAAAACATCACTTTGATGTCAGACCTGTCCGTTAAAGTGAGGCAGACACCACGCTTCTCTAGACTAATGTTTATCTGGCTTTTACGAACGAGGCCGAGTCCCCTTCCTTTCCTGCACACCTTTTCCCAGTGAGCGAGCGCAGGATCATGTTCACAATGGAAGGACAGACAGACGGGGGCTGGAAGCAGGGTCTGGCTGTGTCTAGAGCGCTCAGATGGCAGACAGGGATGTATATGTATATGAATATGTATATGTTTATTATCATCAAATCCTAACAATGGTCTCAGCTTCTCCCTGAAGAGTCTGCGGAGTCACACTCTGAGGGATGACAGAAAAAACAGGAGATACAACATTGGCACGCCAGGAAGGTGGCATGCTCTCGGGATGAGTCACGTGTACTTCCAGTCTATGGAAAGGTCCGGTGAGTAAAAATAAAACATACAACAGTCTAAAGAGAGCCCTCGCTCAGAAAGGTGACATTTCTATCTGTGGTTAGGAGAGGGTGACACCTAGCGGGAGACTGAGTCATTGCAGCAATGGAGCTCTTCACGCTCAGGGCAGCTAGAACCAGGGTCTCCCAAGTCCTCATCATCTTGGAGGTCAGGCTGCTCCTATCCCCGAGGCTTGGCAGGGATTAGGAGAGGCTACGTGGCCTCGATTTTCCCTTCTTGACATGTTTTGGGGTGAGATCCATCTCAGACTTTGAAATACCATCACGTTTCTTTCCAGACTGAGGAAACTGAGCCGGGAGCTGGCTAAGCTGAGCTGGTGTCTGTGGGCTCTGGGCATTAGCAAGAAGGCTGCAAACTTTGTCCCTGACTGTTCTGAGCAATCTTTTCTTTTTTCTTGCAAAGAACTCCACTTCTCCCAGAGCAAAGAGAGACAAGTGTGACACTTAAAAAGAAAAAAAAAAAAAAAAAAAAAAAAAAAAAAAAAAAACCAACAAATGTTTCCGCATCCAGTGAGTCTCTCTCGTAGGAAAACAAATCTGCTTCTTCATGAAGGGCAGCTCACCACACACATTTCTAATAATACACGAGCTCTCCCAAGCCACGCAATAGCGAGCGTCCTCAGTACACTGCCAACTGTGGCTAAAAAGAAGTAGTGCCACCCACTCCGATTTCAATATGCCCACGGCTAGAAAAAGACATTTCTTTTTCTCACTCAAAGATTCCCCCAAAGAACAGCAGGAGTCCATTCATTCTGAGACGTTTGCTCTCCAGGAAAGTTGGTACGGATTTCCAAGTGACTAGTGAAGAGTGTCCTTGGATCCTTTGTACCAACCGGTGAGCACGGGCCGGCGAGGCTCTTTAACACAGAGCCACCCCCCCTCCCCAGGGGTGAGGGCACAGGGAATCGGTTTAGGCTCTAGGAGATGCACGCTTGTTCTAACCTGTCGCAACTGGAACACAGGAAGATGAGGAAGGTGACGAGGAAGAACACGGCCACGGCAGCCAGACTTCCCCACAGAACCATCTGCATCTGCACGTGCCCACTGCTCAGTGTGCTCCCCGCGGGGCCCATGGTGGGAGCTGGGGCGGCCAGCTGGTGCAGGTAGGTAGGTTCTTCACAGGTGGTCACATGGGTCTAGAGGGCTGCGTCCTCCTGCAGAGAGAACAACACGACAAGCTTGCCATCACAATTCACTGGAGAGGCTGAGCATTCCCTGGGCTGAAAATCCAAAGCCTGAAGGAACCCCAGGCCTAAGTTTTGAGTCCTGACATGCTGTCACGCCCAAAACTTCTGCACAGGATGTCAATGCATGCACACACACACACACACAGAAACGGTAAAATTACCTTCCATTTGTGTATGAAACGAGTATTTCAGTATCAGGGGTACAATGAAAATGAAGGAGTGCACCAGGCTGATGTGAGCTACGGTAAGAGAGGTCTTATTTAAACAGCACTCATTTGGTTAGCTCCAGAACATTCTAATGAAAAGGAACAGCCTGGAGTGGACTCTCAAATAAGCAGCACAGTAAGAAACACTGAGTCATGAGCCATGTTTTTCTTACAAAAGCCCACTAATGTTTACATTTTTCATTTGACCCAGTGATAGCCCTGTACTGCGGCCGCCGCTGATTCTGCCTGCACATGCTGGCATCTCTAGGTTGTGTTAGCAACAAATCAGAGTGTAACCAAAGTGGGAGAAATCTAAGCCATTTCAACAAAAGCAGATTTCTCTACGGCACGACTAGCACACAGCTGAAACCCGGTGCAGCCTAGAAAATCCTGCTTCCCTGTCCGCAAGCCCACACGAACAGTGCATCCATCAGAGCTCGGGCGGTACACAACTTTTCTCTCCTTATATATCATGCCCGTAAACAGCTGAGGCTCAAAGTAACACACGGACAAATTGCTTCTACATGAACAAAATTACCATCACATTTCAGGAAGCAAGGAATAATTCTCTTGAAATCGTGTCCACAAACTGCCAATGCAATAGGTTTCTAAATTACACATGAAGAAAAAAAAAGTTTAAACCACGGTGACCTATAAAATAACGTTTATGTGTAGGTGTGAACCATGGAATGCTTCAGGATGCACAGACAAAGGACCTCTCTCGTGCACATTTTTGTTACACCTAATTAGTCAACGCTACTTAGAAAGGGTACAATTCTCTAAAGATAAGCTGGCTGTGTGGATCGCTCAGAGGCCACAACAGCAACTGACAGGGGCTGTCCTGTGCGCCTCTCCATTCCCGTGCATCTCTCCATTCCTGAATACGTCTCCTATTTCCTCTCCCTTGCTCCCCTAACAGGAGGGGCTGGTCAGATACACTGAAATATGTGCATCCTAGTAGGACAGCCCAGGGAGGGAGATAAGAGGAAGCCGTTACACGCTACTGATTAAAAGACGGAACTCACAGAAACTCTCCTGGGTTATCCCTTTCAATTAGAAAGCCATGGAAAGAAATCCTCCCCAGTTCTCACTCCGTACCATGAAAAGAATGCCTGTCTAGTACATTTACCCAGTGAGCCAGGCTAAAATCTCAACTCCTGGACAGCTTCTTGACCTGAGGACCGAGGCTGTATACAGCAGGGGTCTGGGCAGAGCCACGAGAGACAAGGTAGCAGCAGTGGCCCTTTCCAAGGTTCCTGGAGGGGCTTGGCATCAAGGGTGTGTCAGGGTGCTGAGCCAGGTGGGTCCCTTCAACCTCTGACCTCTGGAGCGCCCCCCCCCCAGCTTAGAGATCTTACACTCTCTTGTGTCCATCTCTTTCTGGATCTGCCCCCATAATTCTGTCACCTGTTGCTTCCCTTTAAAGCAGATGCCACTGTGAGCCACCAGGTGGCAACATAATTCTAGTTTTGGCTCCAGTGAAGAGGCCTGACTCCCACAGGGAGGTCTTGAATAATGCTGGTGTTTGTCATGCTTGGCGTTTTAATTGTCTTCATGAGCTTGGATTATCGGCCACCCAAATCAATTCCAACAGGAAAGAAAGCAAATGCCAGACAAAATTAATGAAAGGGACAGGGCATATGGCAGCTGTTTACCTCTCTAGCCAAACACACTTAACAGGTAGGCAGGCAGCTCTCTGATCACAGCCAGTCATATAATAACACTTCGCAGGGCAGGCAGGGATGGCCAGCTGGGTGGATTATCTAGACCGACACTTACAGCTAGCTTCTTTGAAGCAGGTTTGGTAGTAATGATAGTTGCCTCTGTTCCACAGCTGTCCCGTAGGCCTGTAATTAAGGATGATAGGAACCATCTCCTCTGATGACCCCGCTCCTAGGAGGGCAGAGTCGCAAGCCCCATGGGAATGGCTCCTGCCTGGTCATTACGGGGCATGTGAACCTCGTTGGCAGGGGGAGCACACATTATGGGCTACAAATGAACCAGACAAGTTAACAGTCACGAGGAGCTGCGTCCTTGGGTGGACCCTGTCCCGAGTGCAGGCAAGGGTAAATGAATCCAGGAGGACAAAGTTCTCACGTCATGGTGATGACGACAACCACCAGCATCAGGGGCAACAGACAATCAAGAGCAGAGAGAAATAAATACATGTTTAGCTCTGCTTGTTTTCCCCTCTTAAATAGTGGGGGGGGGGCTTAGGAGAGAATGATGCCACCCACAGAGGGCTGGGTCTTCCTACATGAATTAATGCCTTTGCCTCCCTTTCCTTTAAAACCTCAGCATCTCCAGGATCTGAGCAACGGGTTCTGGACAGGCTTAACAAGGCCCAGTGTGTCCTGCGGCCAAACCCTCACTCGGGAATGAGTCTAGCGGATCATCCTGGTGACAGCGTGTTGATTTACACACGTTGCCACATCCTGGGCAGGCCTCTCTCTCAGTGCTGGCAACCCCACTGTCTCCATCCCTCTCACGAATGGCCGTTTTCACGTCCCTCCTCCTCCCTTGCAGGGAGCTGGATGCGACCCTTCTCAAAGGCTGCTGTACTCTTGGGGCCGTACTTGGATGTCATGGGACGACACCCTGTCCATCTCATCAGGGTCACTCCTCCGAACGGTTCCCGACACGCAAGGCCATCTTGCCCTCCGTGCCCAGTTAAGGAATTCCCCTGCCTACCACTGCTCAAGACCGCAGTGACAAAGCACTCCAACGTGCCTCCCATGCACCTCCCAGTGTGTGCCAGACTCCACCTCCTCAGCAAGGGCTCCGAGGCGGCACAGGCTGAGGCCTTCCGAGCAGGCCTTGACAACTTGCTTTTCTTGGTTTTCTATGAGGACACGGGAGTGACACAGGTCTGCCTGCTGGACCACCGGGACGCGGCTAGCTGATGGTCACAGCGCTCCCCTGTGCACAGCCCTGGTTGCCTTACCGAGGCTCCCCAGGACCTGGAGGAGGTGGCTATGCACCAGCCGTAACTGCCAGGCCTGATATAAAGTTCACCGGATACCCTAGAACTGAATCACAGGAGTTGATTGTGAGCAGCCTGGTGTGGTCATTGGGAACTGAACGCGGGTCCTTTGCAAGAGTGCTATGTGCTACTTGCTCCAAGCTACTGACCCGTCTTTCCAGCTCATGTGTGCACGCTTTATTTAATGCTGTGGGCCACGTCACCGAGTCTGTCCTATACACAAGGAACTGAATCTCCTGTTAAGTGCTTTGTCAGTGGAAGGGCTCCCTGCTCTCAGCAGCACAAGGTACACACACACACACACACACACACACACACACACACACACACCAGCCACGATGGCAGGTGGTGAGGACCAGGGAGCTATCCCACCCATTGCCCTCGAGCGGTGAGTACCGGTCATGACTAGCTTGGCCACCGCTCATTCTCACGGTGCATTAATCACAGGCTGGCTGTCTGTCCACAGGAGTCAGAGCACTTTGCAGGCCGTGTGCAACAGCTAGGCTGTGATGGATGTCAACCGTCAGGACTGGAGAAGCAAAACTTAAGACAGATGGCGATTTAAGTAACAGACCAGAGACGGCAGCAGAGGTACTCTGTTCATAGCATCTCCTCCTTGTGCCACAGCAACCAACGGCCACCGTGCTACACAGAGAGGGACAGTGAAGGCACGCCGATAAGGAGATGATCCCTCACCTGCTTGGCAGAGAAAGGATCAAGCGTGGCTCATGTAGTACAGAGTCTGAAACAGTGGTCCTGCACATTACCTCCTGGGGACGGTTGAGAGTACACCCTTCCGGCCTGGTTTGCTTGCACAGGCAGACCTGCAATCTTAGCTACTCGCTGATGACATGGAGGGTGTAGTTCAGCCATTCTGGAGGGGCCAAAGGCTCTGCATTTCTAGGTACTGTCTAGATCGTGACCTATGGCCTTCACCTCCACTCACGCCAGTAAGATATGTGAATCCTGTGGGCAAGACGTTTGTCAGCCTTCCAATCAGAGGGAGAGGCTATGTGGCTAGCTCCCTGGTGCTGAAACGTGGCTTCAAGGCCCCGAAGAGCCTTCATTCCCTGTGGAGCTTAAATAGGAGGCTGTTCTGCCAGTCCAGCAACTGACAAGCCGAATGGAGCGCAGACACGGTGCCACATGCAGCAGATGGCACTCTGTGCATTTCCAGTAAGCTGTCAGGTGGCCTGAATGGAAATCTCCCCGGGGCCTCCCTCAGTTTCCCAGCTTGAGAAATGCAGTCATTTAAAAGATTCCCTTCCAGAAAGAAGGTGATAGAAGCTCCTAGCCTCTATCATTTTATGAAGGTGGCCGTGGTTCTCAAAGTTCAGGGCTGTGTGTATGGGCACCTCTGGCAGCTCTTAAGGACACTGTTCGAATGTCCCAGAATGCATGGGCCCAAGATTCAGTTAAATAGATGCCATGAGAAAATGTGTGTGTGTGTGTGTGGGGGGGATTCACAGGTCATTTTTGTGGGCAGCATGTAATACCAGACTACCCCACAGTCCTTCCAAAGCATCATCCATCATCTATGGTGTACCCTGAGGCTGACATTACATTTCATGACTCATTACGGGCACATGCTTGTAATTCTAGCCTAGGAGACTAGCCTAGGAGACTAGGAGACTAGGAGGCAGGGAAATTGAGAATGATGGTCCAGCTTGGGCTATGTAGGTTTGAGAGGGCTCCATTGCAGTGTGTGGTAAGCCCGAGGGGATTCCAGAAGTTATGACATCCAGAGACTGCCCCTGCTGGTGAGGAAATACAGAGGC